GCTGATGGCTCCACCTCTGACTCCGTTGAGTCGGATGATGTGACTTCCCCAGAACTCTCGTCTTCTGGAGAACCTGCTGTGACGGCTGCGTTCTTGCCGAAACAGTTCTTGCAGGCCCGATGGTATCGGCCCGCCTCGGGAGGTTCATCTCCCGCCAATTCAAACTGTGCATAATGTACACCAGGCTGCCTATGGCACTCCCCGACACGATGAAGAGTCCTCGTGCCCGAGCGGCCCACTATCGAGATCACATACTCCCCGGCAACCGCTCCGGCCTGCACCACCGTGCCCTCCTGGGTCTCGATCACCTCGTCCTCCGAGCCGAAGGCCACATCTCCAGGTTCGTCCTGTCGATCAACAATGTCATCGCCCTCCTCAGGCTCGATCAAGACAACCGGCCCCGTGGCCGTCCACTTCGGCTTCCATGCCGGCTCAACTGCAAGCTCCTCCGGATGAAACCTCTCCAGCAGCTGGGCCTGCAACTCCATGGCCTCATCCGGGAACCCCAGGACGCCCATGCGGACGCTCACTGCCTCAAGCACTGCCGCCTCATCCAGAGGATCACCTCGGCCTTTGTTGTCTCGCAGGAATGCGGCAATGATCTTCTGGGCTCTCAGAATGTTTGCACAAACCACCCGTTCATAGCCTTCATCGGCTGCAGGTCGCCAGCGTCCCATCTGACGTCGAATGTCTGCCGGAATCCTGGCAGCAGCCGACCACGACCTCAGTGTCGCTCGTTCGCTGTGTTCAGTCCACAAAGTGCCAACTCCGTTGAACAACAGCGAGGCCCTCGTGCCGCCTTCCATGCTCCAGAGTTCTCCAAACAGAGCTTGAGACATAGCGGATGCCGTCGAATAGTCCGCCATCCTCCTCACACAAATGACCGCCTGTCGCGAGACGGCCAGGGCAACATAAAGTCGCGGGTCAAAAGACCCGCTTCCATTCCCATGTGGGTCCAAATCCTCCACCCGACCTCAAGCCAGTTGTGCCGACTCACCCATGCCTCCTTGCTGACATAGAAAGGAAGCAGCAAGACTCGCTTCCCTGGCCCAGAGGTCTTCGACTTGTGGATGATGCCCACCAAGTGCGTGTCCTTGAGCTCGATGCCCCTGTTCGGCGTGCCCCGTGTATCATCAAAGCGCATGCCTGTCCAGATCTTGATCAAGCGGAACCATGCATACGCCCTCACAAAGGGAAGCCTGTCGTCGCACACGACCATGTCCTCCATAGCCTCTACGATGGCCAGTGGGATGAGAAGCGCCTGCCTCGACTGGCACTCCTCCAAGGCATTCTTCACAGCTGCCGATCGATGGAAGAAGTGGGCCTCCTCCACCTCGCCAGCATACTCCAAGAACATCAATGTCTTGTATGCAGCCTCTGGTGCAGACCTTGCACAAGGCTCTTCTGTGATCGCCTCCAGGTACTCGGCGAATTCTGTGGGGGAGGCTGGCCATGACTTACCATACGTGGCTTCCAACCATTGGCTGACTTTCTGCCACGTTTTGACGTGCTTCCTCAACGTGTTCGGTCTCCTGCCCTTCGCGATCCGCATGAGCAGGGACTCCTCGCTGGAACGAATTGCCACAGGAAGCTCCGCCTTCTTGACGATGGTTCGTAGTTCACCCAACCATCTGTCTCTTTCCGACTTCTCGGCTTGCTCCCGTAGTGCCAAATCGTCCCCAGCCAAATGGAGCTTCCTGCCAAGCCGGGTCGGCCACTTCGTGACCTTAGCTGTGCCAACCATCTTCACGCGGTCGACCAACTCCTGGCCTTCCAAGTCGCCAAAGACTCGACGTCTCTTCTCCCTCTGATCCAAGAGATGTGCCTCCAAGAGCTCATGTGAACCTCGGCTGGCGTCCGCACGGTGAATGTTCGCGGACCTATGTCGCACTGCTTCACCAGCTCCTTCAGGTCCTCGAGCCTAGGCTGGAAGCTCTCCTTCCTCTTCCTGGCGGCCACTAGGATGGAATCCAAGGCTTGTGACCTGCACCCTCTCAAAGTGCCGAGCTTCGTCACTGTCCAACCTAGTGCCGCCAGGATCTCGAGGTCCGGGTCAGTCCACCCGGCCAGCGTGCCACACAGGACTAGATCCTGCATGGCACGTTCCATCGCGGCGAAGCTGGGTCCCTACCTAGCCAACTAGGGGGAACCTGAGCCGCGACTCCGAGATCGTTGCATGACAGTCCCCGTGATTCTCACGAGTTACCATCACAGTGCTGGAACAAGATTCAGAAGAGTCCCTTTCTTTTACATCACAAAGGCTAACACAAAAGCTGACCGCTGTCCGCTCAAGCAACCAAGTCACCAATGTGCTGCCATACAGGAGTCGATACATGGCATCGGAAAAGATTGCAGAAGTTGCACGAACTGAACCCTTTCCTGCTGTTCAACCAGAATGCAGTAAGTGTGCTCAGCAAGATTTTGTCTGGGGTTGGACATCAACACAAACTGGTCACACAATCTGCCCAGGATCGAAGGTTCTTTTCAAATCTGTTTTGAGCTACTTGTACTGATGTCTTTCTGGCCAAGCTCTGGCCAAGCTCCAGAGCATGATCCTGACGGCTGAATCTCAACTTGTGATCATCGCCCCTCTTTATTCGACATCAACTGGAGTTAGAAACTGTGACTTTCGCTTTTACTCGCGCTTGGCCTGTTATATTCCCTTTCACTTTGACCGTGCTTTTGCAAGAAACCTGAGCAGGTCTTTTCTCCAAGGCATCGGCATCTTCTGATGGGTCTGGCTTTGACAGACTGTTAAACACAAAGCTCCAAGTGTAAGGCTAAAAGAGTCGGCCCTTCCTTGTAAGAGATGTTCAAATGTCTGCCGTCTCAAAGCGAAACCTCTGAGATTCAATGGTCTGCTTTTGAATCTGTCAATACTACCATCTTCAGGAAGTGCGTCTGTCTTGTGCCTTACAACAAGGATCTCTCAATAGCTCGCCGTTTGCATCATCCAACAAGTCACTATAAGTGTTTAGTTCCTAAAGCGAAGGAGTTGAAGAATCAAGGCTGGCCAAAAGTACGCTTGTCAACGGCGAGAGCGGCGAGAGGACAAGCGACAGGAGAAAGGACCAAAAGATTCCGATGGCCAGTGGCACAGGCCTTGGCTTGTAGAGCCAAACAGCTGGCGACGATGCCCGACTAGCGGCTCTTTGGCAGTACTGTTGTCAGGAAGCACAAATTTCTTGCAAAAGAATCAACAATAAATGTCAGATTCGGGCTTTCCTTTGAAGCTTACGGGCGCGGCTCCAGCCCTGGAGAAACTTCGACAATTTCAAAGGCATCCACGAAGACGCTTATTGCAAAATGATGCAAATGCCCATCATCTCAAACATTGAACCAACACAAAACAAATCTGAGGATACACATGGCAGAGATCGGGCGAACTACCACTTGCCAAATCATTTCACCAGTTGCAGCCCAAGGCATTTCAACTGGCTAATTGAATCTCAAGCAATTTCCTGGCGAATGTCTACAATAATGATCTTGGGATCTATGCAGCTGCAAATTGAATCAAGTATATAATGACCCCCTGAAATATGTAAGGAGTGGTGCCCAAATTGCCAGCCTGACAGCGAATGCTTTTCAGGGCAATACTTAAGAATTCGCGACACCTGTTTACCACAAGCACTGAGTTTCGGCAGTACCCCGGCTGTCTGAGCAAGCCCCAACCCAAACTAAACGTGTAGATATCCTCTTTTGTTGCATCTTTGTCTTGGTACATACTCCACTCAAGAATGAAGAGACACAATGTGTCTCAACTCTATGATTCCATGTTTTTGCTGAAAGATTCAAACTGAGCTTCTTGACATTCTCATGCCACGAAGGTTCTTCTGTTGATAGGCTAATTACCAAAGGGTTAATAGTGGATACTTGAACCTGAACCTCATCTATTAGGCAAACGGAGTGGACTTACAAGGTCACCTTGAAGCATTCACCGACTATCAAAAGCATTCGCGCTGGCTACGGCTGTCACCACAATTGCTCCGACGGACGACAGCAGCTTGCTCTAAAAACTCGCCCGTCCAAATGGCCTCAGGATGACGAGGCGGCCGGGTTAGAAGGGAGGGACGGGGGGAACGTGGATGCATGTGCGTTGTGTATAGAATAGGGAGACCCCTAGCTGGCCCTAGCTACTGCATCTTGGGAGGGTCGGCCCAATTCAATTACGGACCAATGTGTCACTACACTCACTTAAATACATGATCTCTTGAAGGGGCTTTATATCTCGTATTGATCACTTTGTGGCAGATGCAACGTTGTCATCTTTACATTGACCTCGTTCGCTTGTCCGTTGATGTTTGTTTACTAGCAAGTGGCATGTTTGCGGGTCACCGCTCTCTTTTGCGTTCAGTGAAAACAACAAATGTGATTGCTCAAGAATTGCTTTATGCTTTGGTGGTTGCTTCCCAGCATTTATTCTGGTCCTTTCTGCCATTCAGCAAACAAGAAGAAGCTATCTAAACATGAATTTGAGATGAATCCACTGCAAGAGGCCACACGCCCATCCTCCAAGAGTACCATCCTCAAACCTTCCAACACAACACGATGGTCCAGTGAAGAAGTCACTGTCAATGTCCCGTGCCTGTTCGAGCGCTTCTATCCATATCTTGTCAAGATACCACAGCAGAGGAAGAACAACTCCCTCCTACTGAAAGATACACTGTGGTTGTTTGGACATAGAAACCCCAAACATGAAAACGGAGGTTGGCGACTGAAGCAACAATCAAAGACGGAAACTCGTGATGCGGTTCGCTCCCATCTCGAGTTCAATATCTTTGTAACCCCAAAGGCACTGCATACCACAAAGTCTGGTCGATCAATCCGAAGCTGTATGTTGGCATGCCAAATCTTCTTTTAAATACCAATAATGGTCATGCTCAGTCAACCATGACATGTTCAAAGGAGGTGCATGCATGTAGCGAAAGAAACCGACCTAGCTTGCGACAAAACGAAATGCTTCTCCGCCAAAGAACACACAGCTTCCTGCAGGACGCAGCTCATGGGTTCAATTGCCCGGCCGGCTTCTTCCCCTGTCGAGACAATGCATGATGCCATTGTTTCGAATGAGCAACGACCTGTCGTCAATAACATTGTAGAAGTAAATCGCAGTTGCATATATATATATATATAGATATAGCTTGAATACTGCTAGAATTGCATGAAAGCTAGAATGGGTTCATCTGCATCACAACCTAACCGAACCCTTGAACGCAATCTCCAAACTTCAACTTACTTGCACATTCTCTGGCCTCTGTCAGAATACCACGCTTGTAGATGGGTTCCAATTTGAACCTAACACACGATCGAATTTCTGACCTGTGACTTTAAGAAAGCTGACACCAATAGGAGTCGGAAATCCCAATGCCTCAAGACTGGGCCTTCTACTTGCATCACTTGTATTCCTCCATTATATGGAATTATGGATGCCAGGACATCAACTCAAACCACCCTGTGTCTATCTGTGGCCAGAGAAACGGCAAAAGAACTCGCTCGATCAGCCTAAAGCCAGCATGGTGCATGCATAATCCTGCACAAACTCAGACTGCGGCATATTCTTCAATGCCCAAATCTTATCCTTCTTCTCCTCCACTGCTTCATCCTCCTGAGACGATGAACTTCCTTCTATATACACGGCACTCTTCCTTGTGGCTCTAGCTACAAGAGGTGAGTTCAGCAAGTTCCTCAGCTCCAATGGCTCATCGATGTCAAAAAAGCGCCAATTTTTCCCCAAGCCATAGCTTGTGCGATGTTTTTGTGTATCCTCCTCTGGCCTCTGACTCGTTTCCACTTGCCTCGCCTTCATGGAGTAGTAGATCGGTCGGAAAATTTGATCAACCTCGGGGCGCAACGAAAGCAAAGCGCAAAAGCCATGCGGATGTGTGACGTGGCTATGCCTCAGACTATGTCAAATCGCACCACAAGAACCGAGATGTTGCAATTGTAGCATTGCAAACAAACTTTATGCAACTAATGAACACAACAAACACACTATTTATTGTGGCTGGTGGGGGAGGATGGGCAGTTCGCCAAGGATGTGGAGGCACAAGTTTGAAGGGAGGCACGGAGCTGGAATTAGACCCTATCCAGAAAGCAATTTAAAACCATTTCGTTACCTTTCTTCTTTTTTGGGGTGAGAATCGGTGAGAAGTGGAGGGCTTGGTGAGCCACTGATAGGTCCCTTGAGTGTTGAAATGCTAGGGTTTTGCCCTGGATCACCAGTGAGGGGTTAGGTTTTCTGACATACTTTCTTCCACATCATCACCTGTTGGATTTCCACCAGCTGCAGCACGCCCAAGAGCTTTCTGGGACTCCCAGCAATGTGTCTGGTCAACTTGTCCACAGCTTCACGCTCTCTCTCATCGAGGCCCTTGGCAAAAGTCGGGTGTGGCATTGAGAAAGCATCAACATGTGCATGGAAGAGAAACTATACTTAGGTGATTGTCATTTGCCAGATTGACACACCTGACAGGTCGGGGCTGTTGTTCAACGTGAATCATATTCACATCTTCAGCATCCGCTGCTCGGGAAGGCACCTTCAGCTTGTGGGACAGATTCTCTGTTTCCGTCTTTCGAATGTTCTCTGCCATGGCCTGGCAAATGGCACAAGCAGAGTCTGAGACTCATTCAGTTGTCCCGACCTCAATTCATCAAACCATTGAAGTAATTTTTACGGATGGCTCCATGAGGACGCCAAATGCAAGGTAGACAGGCAGGTGTTGACCCAACGAGGAGATTCACAAGGACGACTCTCTGCAAGTCTCCAAAGACATCAAAAGTCAGGAAAGATCAAATGTGTTGCCGCCGCAATGGAGCAATGGAAGCTTCAAAGAAGGTATCACTCGCTGGAGTTGGGGTGCACAAACCGGCTATCTCGACGACAATGCCAAAACAGGAGACATTGCAAATGTTGTATAATTGTGATTTAATTGTGTTCTGATTTTGCTATTCATCCTCGCCGAAGAGACTCTTTGCTCCCTTGCCACATCTTGCTGTGTTCACCTGCCTGGAGCGCTGCCAAGTATGGCACTGCACCCTGTGAAGCCTGGCAAGAGAAGGAAGCCGAAGCCAAAGTGAAGCCTGTGAAGCTGCACATCTTGTGCGCTTTGCACGTCACGTCAGCCGTCTCTTGACCGCCTGCCACACCTTGAACTTGCCCACTTCAGTGCCTGAAGACGAAGAGTCCAAGTTCATCTCAAGCATTAACTAGTAGCTTCTTGTTACCAGTAGCTACTTGCTCCTAGTAGTACGGCCAGGAGCCCCTAGTAGCGTCCTTGCTCCTAGTAGCGATGCACCTTGTTACTAATGTCATAGATAGTTCAGGTTCTCATCATAGCTAGGCCCCGGGCTGATGATCTTCTTTGCTTTCTCCACCTCAGCCAGCCTCTTCTGTGCATTGGCCTCCACAGAGAGTTGTGCTGTGTTTCTGCGTGTAAACCTTTATATACCCTATTCTGATATGGATCCATTACAATTGCGAAAAAATCAACATCAAGGCCAGTACGTTGCATTCACCCTGCTGCATGCCTGGACAACCTTCTGAAGGTCGTCCACGGAGTAGGAGAACACCTCAACTCAAAGGCGATAGTAGAGATCGCAACTTTGGCTTTTCAGGTTTGTCAAAACTGAAGCAATGCCTACATGGAAGAAACAAGTCGACTCCTTTCAAGCCAAAGCTCAAAGCGGCCAAAAACATATGCCATTTCAGGGTAACTCCTAAGGGCAAGCAGCACGCTGACTTGTTCGGGGCCCCGCACATTCTCCACATCTTCGCAGCCTGGGGCCACGTTCAAAGGCACGGAGATGTCGACCAACATCAAAGGGCGCTCTTGTCCTTCAGCAAATCAAGCAGAGCGGCGCTGTGTGAGTCGTCTCAAGTCTTTCAAATGTCTTGCCAACTTAGTCTCTGCCGTATGTGCCATAGCCCTATGCAAGATGTTCAAGGTTACAAGTTGAATCTCGATTTAGGGCTAAAAGAATACACAAGCATCACCTAAAACATGTTCCATCAAGAAATCAAGTACCGACATTAATGTTGCTCCTTCCACATTCTCAGGGTGAATGATGGGCACCTTCAGGGAGGTAGGTTTGCAACACAGGGGACGATGGCTGCTCTAGAATCATGACCAAAACCATCATCATCTGTTTATTAATATGTTTTACTATGTGTTATTCATATGTATATATAATATATAGTATAAACTATAAACACACCTCACAGCACAGAACTTCTGAAACTACAGTCACTGGAGCTCAAAAATCCGACCAGCTTGGCTGCATGCCTTATGATGCTGGGAGAGTTTGCGACAATTTTTGAAGAACACATAATCAACGATGCATGAATGAGGCACAAAACACTAGACTATCACCGTACAGCTGAAAGGAATCAATTTGACCCTGTCAAACAAACAGTGCTGGCACAGAACGATGAGAGTCTCCACCTCGCTTCCCGTGGCTGTAAACACTACATCGCACTGCTTCATGACATCGAACATATCGTCCATGGGGGCAACCTAAGAAACATGGTGAGTCAACGAGCAAGAATCCACATGAAGGGAAATGCACTCCGACGATTTCGAACCATACAGGAGATGTTCAGCCAGTTCCACCATAAATATGCTGCTTGCCTATGTCCATCCTCAATAGCGGAGACTGCTCCAAATACAACCATCCCTAGATATGTCAAGTCGAAACCAGCTCCACAGAATCTGGAGCAACTATATAGTCAGAACGATTACAGTATCTGGAAGAGTAACAACAAGAAGAGCTCCCTTCTTATGATTGCTTATGTTGTATAACATTAGTCATTTGGTCCGTGGACCTCACTGACTCAAGTAACCGCCTTGCTGAACGTTTTTTTTTCTAGCCAAGAAGCAGTGGCATTCTGGCCACCACGAGCCTTCACGAGGTCATCTTGCAAAACCGTCTCAGCCTTCTCCACCGAGCGGTTCACCAAGGTGACCCGGATGTCCGGGTGCTTGCTGAACAAAGCGAGCAACAGAAGCCTCCAAGCTGCTGCGGTTTCGGAAGAACTTTGATGCTTTCCGTTTGACAGTTCATGTCCTCTTGCCGCGTCTCCGTTGCTCTTGTTGTCCCATAAAAAATGCCGGAGAAAGCTGGGACCTCAGAATCATTTGCCCTCCGAACTTCCAGTACCCATTTCCCAGAGAACGCCAAACCTTGACATCTTGCCGGCACCGATGATGCCAACCTTAGCTGATCGATATAGAAACCAATTGACACAAATCCAAAAGCCTGTGGATCCACAATCAGATTTGTGATCAATCTCTATCCTTCCTTCTTGTTACTTATTGTGTTTGGAGGTTTATTAGTGTAGAAATCCACCAAATGCTTGCAATACCCATGAGAAACGTCACGGGGCTGACACGCTTCAGCGATACGCCGCAGGACGCTGACACGCTTCCGCGCTTCGATCAAGTCACATGCACCTTGCTGGCAGGTTTTCGCAGGTCCTGCATGGACCTGGTGAGCTGAGGCTGGAGGCTGTCAGCTGGTGCAAACGCTGGAGCTGGGGCATGTTCTACACCCTTCCATCGACTTCTGCATGCACGAGTCGAACTTGGATCCCAAGAAAAAGGACTTGACATCTTGCCACACTCTAGACTATGACTCTTTTATGTGTGGCAAGTCGAGGTGATCCATGCATTGCGTGCTGTTTTGCAGGTAGTTAGGCTGTTTCCCAGGCAGTTCTTCGGCCTGCTCATCATGAGCTCAACTGCTGCACTGGAGACCGAGACAGAGCCTTGGCTTGAAATGACAGCAAAACAAGGAAAGGGTGTTCAGGTCAGTCATTATGTCGCTCATGTTTCTGTGTAGGCACGCAGAACCTGAGCTGCGAGCCCTTTCCAATCTTTGTCCGGGTGCGGACAAGCTTACCAATCCTTTCAGCGGAATTGTTGGACCACTTTGCAGTTGTGGCGGCTGTCGGCTGTCTGACAACTGCTTCATGGATTGGTCTGAGTCTGTTGGCAAAGGTGTGACAGGTTGAAGAAAGTTCCTTGAAATTTCGCTGGAAAGTGGGAAAACCTGCGGAGGTGGACAAACTGTTGCTGGTACGTTTTTTCCAGTGCCTGATGCCAGCATTCAGCATCTTGGCAACGATCTTGCCACCGGCACCAGCAACAGACTCCTCAGACTCTCCAAAGGTTGTCAACAAGAAGCTAATGCCGAGAGAGATTGTGACAGTCTCAACTTACCTGAACTCTTCATGATTCGTCCTACTTAAAGTTCTAAAAATAAAAAAACACGATTACTCAATCGCCAGGAGCGACTTCCCGTTCTCTCCTCCTCCTCCTCTCCACCCTTTGCAATGCAATGTTCATGGCAGGCCTTCACCTGCGACAGAATCTGCGCCTAGCGGCAGGCGCGTCTGCAACACAGTCGATCTATGCATCGCAGTGATGTACAGACTAATGATGGATGTCTGGGGGTGGTGAAATCCAGATGAGCACGCTTGAGAACTGCGACTCCATGACTCCAAAATTGAGACCGAATATCGCCCTGCCGTGAAAAAGCTACAAAACAGATTCTTCGTGTGACAAAGCAGAACATGTTACTGATCGAGGTCTTGCTGTTGAAAATGACAATGGTGGCTGCCAAAAAACGTCGATTTCTGCGCGGATGCGTCAGCCAGCAAGGCCCGTCGAATCTCATCGGCGTTTCCCAAGAGCTGGACCTGTGTATGCTGGGACCCCAATTCGACACCATCAGCATTTCGAATGGTCACTCGCACCTCGTTGGAGGGGGATCCATCCTCCAGTTGTCGTGCCTCCACGAGGACATCCACGTGCTCTCCATTGATGAAGGATGGAATCAAGGTGCTGAGTATTTTTGCTTCCTCCGGTGACCGAAAAACAAGTAATCCTTCGGCCGTGTGAACAAGCTCCACCAAAATGTTGGTGAGTTGCCTCAGTGCAATGATGGTCTGGAGGGGAGTCCTCCGCTAAAATAGAACGGAAAAGCTTGGTGCCTGTATATATAATATAGTCGTTTGTCTCAAAACCCTTAACATGATGAAAGCATGCAACAATTCTGAAAACCCAGGCTACGGGCTATCAAGACTTTGACTCTGGATGTCCAGGTTCACAAGACCTATCGTCTGCTCCTTTGTCCCATCTCTTCTGCTGAGAGCATCATGGTACCGCCAACTTTGATATCGTAGAAATAGTGAATCCAAGTTGTCTGGACCCAGCTGCCGCCAAAGAAAGTCGGTCATCTCAGAAGGTGTTTGAGCTACACTCGCGCTTCTCGTTCCCTCCAGTGCTTCTAAAAGGACCTCTAAAAGGAGAAAAAGCTCTGTATTCACTGACTTTCGTTCCAGACCGAGCATAAGCTCAGGATCCAGCTCCAACTGATCGACAATTGTAAGCAAAGCTGATGCATTGCGTTGATAAGCCATGGCAGAATCTAAAATGTCCTGCAATGGTGAGCCTGTGTCCAAAATCTCTTCAAATTCAGGTGGCATAACAATTGGCTCTGGTCCAACGCTAATTTTCTCTCGACTTTCAGATGCTTCCGAAGCTTCCGAAGCTTCTCTCAAAAGTTCCTCTTCTTCCTCCTTCTCTTGTGATGCAGCAAAGTCTCCCAAGCCTGGCAGTGGGGAATCTAAAGTTGACTGAGCCGGAAGATCAAAGACTCCTGGCCTGATAGAGAGGCGCTGAGATGCAACCTCATTCAGGTTCCAAATGGGCAAGTCATGCACCACTGAGGGAATCCGAAATTCAATCTCCTCCCAGCCTGTCGCGTGCCACCCTTCCCTCATGGTTAAATACAGGGGCACCTCCCTCTGTTGCGGATCGGCATCTAAGTGCTCTGGCTTTCGCATCAAGTTTGAACTGAAAGAAAGTTGAATGGCTCCAAGGAGTATGCATTCGGCCATCATGAACACGACTTCGTCTACCACATCGGTTGACGTCAGGGCAAAAAAGGCCACTCCGTTGACGAACGTTCGAAGGTCCCAATTGGGCACCACCTCGCTGAAGACTTCATTCCCGGCATGTCGGCCTTTCACCAACAATGGCGTGGGTGGCTTGGAGGTCGAGGTCGCACCGCAGGACGTACGGCAAAGATCAACGGACTGGAGACTTACTGGTCGCCCAAAGCGAATTCGGCCTACAGAACCTTGCAGCTGGGCTACAAAGCGACCACGCTTCACGGCATCGTTTTCAAAAGATGGATTTTCCACCAAGTCCCATGGGCCTTCCCAGTGCACCTGGAAGGGAATTCCACCACCCAACCGCCTGGTGCCTGCAAAGCTTGTTGGGAAGTGCTGCTGCCATGGCTGCATCCCTCGAAAGCCCAGGATGGCCGAGCGGCCACGCTGCTTCGGAGAGGACGGCTCTCGGCTGGGAGCTTTGGATGCTTTGGCCGTCTCCACGCCCGCCTTAGCCTTGGCCTTGGCCTTCAAGCTGGCGCCCAGGAAGTATTCATCCAACATTTCACCGCCATCAGAAGACGATAATAGGCGACTTGAGAAGATCCCGTCAGTCACAGCTGAGAAGGACTGGGTACAATGTGGGCCATCAGCCACAGAGTCACAAGCAGCCGTACTAGCCTTGTAAACAAGGCCATCTGCAATGTAGACTCTCTCTCGTAAACTTAACACGGCTTCCTCCAAGATCTGCTCGACATTAAGAGCCCCATCCACCAAAGAACACAGATGTGCAACCAAATAGCACAGCAGCTGGTCTCGAAAACACATGGCAACAAGTGCTACTTCTTTCAGACTGTCTGCATGCTTATTGATCTTTCGTGGAGGTGTCACAACATACCGTCTATTTTTCTTGAAAGTTGATTTATCCACTGGGCATTCAAGACTCGCCTTTGTTCTATCTGACTATGCATTCCTCACCTGCAAACAAAAAGAGTGTGTGCACCTGGTAGTGAATTTCTCCAATGCAAAAGCGAAGGTGGGAGACTCAATGGGAACAGTTGAATAGAAAAGTCATCCACCGTTTGGGCAGCTTTTGATTATGCTTTTCAGCATCACTGCAGTGAACCTTGAACTCGTGGCCGATGGCAAACTGTCTCAAGGATAAAGTGCTCACTGTTATAGGCTAGGTCCTTCAGGTCAGTCTTCTTGCTCACATCAAGGATGCCGAGATTGAAAAAAAAGGCTTGGAGACCAAGAAAATCTGTCCCGGAAGAAAACCAATGTCACCGAACACAAGCACAACTATGTAGCAAAAGGTTGGAGGCCATCGCTATTAGGTTGGAGGCCATCGCAGTAGGTTGGAGGCCATCGCTCTTAGGTTATCGAAAAGCTATGCAGCAAACAAGACCCTTCTCTGCACGGTCTGCATCCTGTGCCTCACCAAGAACCAATGAGTCAAGACCAGAACTCACCTCGCTCGGAGCATCGCCGGAGCTCTGCTGCGCAAAGCAACACTATGCTTTCAGATTTAAAGCTTGATATCGTAGTTTTTGTACCCCAAGACTGCGAGGGGGTGAGTGGCAACTTCCAAGCATCAATTCCTTTAATCGGAGGGCTGAGGCTCACATCCACTGTTGCATGCTTGAGTAGAAAGTGTGGCGCCATGGCGCCAATATCAGCTTAGAAGGTTGGAACCCAAGACTCATGTCATCCGACATAATAGAACTGGTGCGAATGCACACGTATCCACCAAAAAAACGTTAAACATTCTCTAAAGTGAAAGAATGTTTGAGACCTGTGTGTCATGTACTGGTAGAAATCTGCTGTGATACAGCCTACATTCTGTGGTTTGGGGTTCCCGTTGTCCGGCTCTGCATGTCATTCGAGTCTTGAGCCGGGGTCAGTATGCCCGCTCCTCGAAGAGGTGGTTGATGGCATCATGCCCCGAGTAGTTGAAGAGATAAGGATCCAGCTCCTAGACCCAGTTGCGCTCGCTCCACGACTCACTCCGTGGAATTGTGCACGCCGCAACAGAAAGACCGAGCGACCCAAAAACATGTCTCAACCCCTCTGTCATGGAAGATTTGACCCTCAAATCTATTGTAAGGAGTCAAAAGGAGTCAAAGCAAATACTCTCAACAACTTCCGCAAACATTCTGCTGTTTCGAGTCACCCACAGAAACTTCTCGCGATTCAAGTGACCCTGTAGGGCAACGCTTTGGGTCTGGCACCTCGCTGTCCAGACCAGACTGCTCTCGAAGGAAGGCGTTGACGCGGTCAATGGCCGTGTATTTCCTTGGAAGGTTCTCAAGTTTTAACACCACACCTGGCTCATTATTCTTGTTGTTTTGGTCCGTGGCCCTGCCTCCTTACTCATTATATATATATATATATAGTGGGCGTCTACTTAATTAAGTAAGGGAGTAGTTCGCTAGTAAGAGTAGTTCGCTACTAGCAATAGGAAGCTCCTAGGTAGGACGCAGGATAGCTCACGCCAACAATTTGGTTCCTAGATTTTTAGGGAAACTTAATGGGAAGGCTTGGGCAGGGTGACTATGTCAGTCCTTTCTACTGTAGATTTCACATCACCACGTGTTGTAGAGCACCGCTGGTGCCAGTGGGTGTTGAAGCGAAATCGACGACGCTGTTCGATCAATCCTGGCTGATCAAAGCATTGTACGCTGTTCATTGACAGGGACAGCACTTTCTCGAAAGCCAAGAGCAGGGGAATGTGTCAGAGTTGGACTTACCTGTTTCTTCCAGTTGCATCTCATCCATCCGTTTCTTTTCATGTGTTCTGTAATCTGAAGGGTCTGTGTCTGGCAAGTAAAGATCAGCCGCATCTTGGCAGAACTGGTTTACCAGAGCCGCATGGTGGAAAATACGTCAAGAATCTGGCATCTTGATACTGCACTTTGCACAATCAAGGCCAATCACTCTGAGTTCTTCTCATGAAGTCCTTTGATGCCACATTCTTTGTTGATGCGCTGCAACGAATTCGTCACTCCAACCCCTAGTGGTTGGATGGACAAGTGCTGATTGCCAAGAATATAGTGCAAGTGCAATAGCCATAATTGGTTCCATATGTAGACTCACTCAAAGTGTCAGGTTTGGCATCTGTTACCTGTAAGAATCTGAGCTATCGCCCATCAACCCTTAGAGTGACCTTCCACCGGCTGCACGTGACGCGCATAGAGCCACACTGTACAAACCAGGAAAAGCTTTGTCCGCAGTTCTGGACAAAAACAGTGCAGCACAAATGGAGCAAATCCACCGCGGAAAATTGCTTCGAACCCTTCGCGAACCACAACATGAAGGCGTTGTAAACCTGCAAAAGAAATGACTAATGACCACCAGGCAACTTCATGGATCCCCACTCAAGCGAGACAAAGCGACGGGTTCGAAACGGAACGGAAGCTGATCCCAAAAAAAAGCCTGCAGGACAACCTGGTGAACGAGCATGTTCAACTGGTGGGCAAGTTCCATCATAGTATGAAATCACGCGGAGGGAGGAAGCTACTTAGTTACTAGTGACAAGGGCATCGCTACTAGTAGCTAGAAGCTACTAGTAACAAGTAACAAGGTTAAATGCTTTCATCGTTCGTATCGTTTGTTCGGCCGTTTCGTGCACGACTGTTGTGGCCTTGTTTTCGAGGGTCCGGCGTTCAGGGTACAATGCATTATGCTGGGGTCTCAATAGTGCATTCGCCGGCGTTGCTTTTTTGTAATCATAGTGTCTGCCTTAGGAAAATTGAGGTGCTGCTACATACTTGCTCTGGCCCTCGCCCACACACTCTGTATCGCTCTGAACATGCGGGCTACACAAGTGCAGGTCTCTTCCCCAAGGGATCACTGCGCTGAAGAAGTCCCTCGAATGGAGAGAGCAAGGAAGCTACACACCGCCCTGCGCGGTGGAGCTGAAGATTCAATCAAATCACAAAATCCAAATAAGTCCAGTTAGATTGTTCGCAGGTCTTCTGCACTGAAACAAAGGAGCAAAATATTAAATGAAGAGCATACAAAGATCCTAAAAAATGTGTGACGGTAACCGTAACAACTAGCAATCCTCTAAATGGTGTGGTGTGGGAGTAAGTCTACATGAGTCTACATGTGAGAAGGGATTTGTACTTCCATGTCGGCCAATAGTATAATAGTGTGCTAGAAAGGATCAGGTGTATATATTATATTAATATAATATATGTGTGTAGCTTGTTTGTCTGCATTCGATAGAAATCTTATGATCAAATGCGTTTGCCAGAAGAAAGAAAGTACACAATGAGAAGCCAGAGAACCCACAGACTCATCTGGGTGGAACACTGAAAGCACAGGAGACAGCTTCAGTTTGTCAAGCCGCCGCTTTCGGTAATTATGCACATATCTTCACGGCACAAAAACTCGCCAGCAAGTGCTATGCTGTGAAGATGCTCCACATGCTGTGCTTGGCTCAACATGTGCGGTGCTCATTTGGAGTCCTTGGAGTCGGTTGAGTCGGATTCCTCCAGAGTGACGCTCTGTTGGCGTCCCACCGCTGCGGCAGAACGTGCCCCACCGAAGCTACAACCGTTCAATGTTACTTTCTGCACATCTTTTTGGGGGACAAGACCTCCTAACATTCACAAAATTTTAGATTTATGAATTTGCTGAAATGACATAATGTTGAAACATGTGTTTTAACAGGATGCAGAAATCCACCCACCCTCCCCACCTTGGGCCGCGTGTCTCTTAAGGTGAGCTCTGCCACTTCCTTAGTACAGACTTCGACGAACTGTAGCCTTCGTAGACCTTGTCTATCAAAAAGGAGGCCAAAAGCTGCCATAGCCCAGATGACATCCACTTAATTCAGCCCTGTCACTGAGACAAAGGGCACGCCTTTGGGAAAGGCGCCCGCCAAGCAGCAGCCCACTGAGTACCTAAAGTGATTGCAAGGCAGTTGAACAAGAGCAACCGGCAAATATGTAGTAAATTAGCTTCACAGCCAGCAAGCTTCGTCGAGTCACACACAACACGCAAGCATTGCGAAGAACACTGCAGTCGAAGACAGAACCGTCAAGCCAGGGAGCTCCATCTGGCACCAAAAGGACAAGGCAGGAACTGTCACATGCGCCGGTCAATTAGGTTGGCTAGGTTGGAGGCCATCGCTAGCAAGGTTTAGTCCATCAAAGTCATACCGCGAAACTGAATTCTGGTTTTCACATCACCCATCATCCCAACTCGGCTACCCCAACAGCACAGCCAAGGCTAACCAAAACTACAAAATATGTTGGTTTCCGTTGATCTATTTATGCAATCACAAAAAGGCCAATGCAAACTGAAATATAATCAACAACAACAACAACAACAACTACTACAACAACAACAAAAACAAAAACAAAAACAACAAAAACAACACCACCAACAACACCAATACCACCAACACCAGCAGCAGCAGCAGCAGCAGCAACAACAACAACAACAACAAAGCATACAATAACGCGCAAGAATCTGCCTGACTCCAAGCCAAGGCGAAATGTCCCAACTGTCCTATGATGATTGGGAAGAACAACATGATGTCGAGCTGGACGGCTTGCCTGACAGCGCTCACAAAACACTGGCAGGAGCTGCTGGTTTGTCATTCAATGGCCCAATGACCCAATGGCTGTGGGAGGAGATAATTGCTGTAATGCCTTTTTCAGTTGCAGGGATATCATGTCTGACTTGGGCTGACACTGCCGAGTTTGAAGATTCACACAAGGCAAACCTTTGTATAGCCGGAACAGAGCTCATCAGGGGACATGTGTCTTGAAGCGCGTTCGGTGTTCGAGCGGCTTGCTGAAGGGGATTTCCATGTCCTAGCTTTGGATTTGTGCGCGCAAGAGGGTTACCTGTCCATGAAAAGACCACAAACAGGAATCCTTTGGAAGAAATTGCTTGTTAATTTCTTGGCCTTCTGGAGCGGATTCGAACTGAAAGACCTAGCACGCTCATCATGGGTGGTTCAGTCCGAATTGCACAAGGGGATCTCAGCTTTTGAAGCAAGAAGACATCGTTCCAAGGTTCGCGCGGTACTGGGATGAGTTTGTAGCTCTCCTTGAGCAGGGACGTGAAATCCTTGCAAAGTGTGACGTCGCATGGATTGAGTTGTCGCGGGCTTGTCGGTATTGGAAGAGTGAGAACGTGGAAGCACTCATCACAGAGTTGTGTCCATACAAGGTTTTCATTGACCGATGTCATCTCATGTCCGCAAAGCAGAACAATGCAAAGCATACATATCGCGCGCAGTCATCCCATCCGATCTAGTGTTTTCGACGCAAGTGCGAGCGTGATCACGTTCCTTTGAATTCTCGAAACCTTCACGGTGTGGGGTTTGTATCTGACGAACCTGAGCCGCGCAGCGCTTCAGAGCATCCTTGACTTCTTTTGAAATTTTTCCAGAAAGCACCAAGGGATTTTTGGCGCACCAAAAGAATTTTTTTGCGAGAGAACCTTTTGCGCAAGGAGAAAACCAAAACCTAAATAGTCTTTGAGTTTTTACTCAGTTTTCGAGTCATCAGCAACTTTTGGCAGCCTTTTCTCGGTTGGAGCTTGAAAGCTACAAAGCAGAGGAAGTTTTCGTATTGTATGACACGCGCATTTGCCGCACTTAGGCTGAATGTGAGCCCATAGTCTGCGAGTCCTGTGGTGAATGCTTGTGTGCGCAGCTCTGCCGGTGAGCGGCCTGTCGTGAACGTGCATGTTGATTTGAGTGATGGAGCTGGGAGTTCTTCTGATTATGTCAGGGTGGAACCACCAGTGACCTCTTCAAAACGCAAAGCCCAACGAGCTTGCTGCAATAATGAACAAGGCAGCTGGCTACAATTCAGTGAATGAGAGTGCAGTATCTAATTTGGAATCAGTTTTAATGCACAGTGCATGCGCCTACTCCACCTCTCTATGTCCGCATTGCAGCCATCAATGGCTTAGCAGACCAAGCTGCAAAAGTCTCTGCTTTGAACGGGCAGTTGTTTACAGTGGCTGAAGCGCATGCTGGTGAGTTCCAGCTAGTGATCGCTGTGCTGTGAGGGGGTCTGAAAAGTCACTTCTTGAAGTTCCTTGTGAGCCAGCGCGAAGGTCCCAAAGGCCCACTTGAACGATAGTGTTCATGTTTTTGGCCACTCTTGACTTCAGTCAAGAACACCTTTTATCCATGTGAGCGAACGCCAAGATTGACCCAATCTTGGCAAGCCGCGTAACTCGAAGAGTCGTGGGAGCAGCGGAAAATAAGTGCATCGGGATTTCAAATCGAGAAGTGTACCAAAGTTTTCAGTCTCTTGGAGTTTGGCATTCTACACTTAGATCCATCTAGTTTTAGGCGTTGCATAAAACGACGTTCAGAACTTCTCAGCAGCCCTCAGCTTCCGGGGGATCCGGCAAGGGATAATCTGATTGCCTTCACCTGCCCAGAAAACCTGCTTACCTTCACCTGCTTCTACTCACAGCTCTACTCACATCTGGTTACCTCCTTCTTCTTCTTCTGGTCTCAGTTGTTTAGGGGGAATCATTCATCTGTGTTGGGCTCTGCCCAGGCACACTAACAGTGACCTCACAAGTCCTACCATGAAAAGCACCGCAATATAGCCTAGCCACAATTTGCACCTGGATGACTTTCATTTGCCTCTTTCACGCTGTCTACAATGGTGGTACACGCACACACCCCTCAAGTACATCAGAAGCCTTTTCCCATCTGAGACCCACAAGTCAGCATCCACCAAACAATTTGTACATTTACGAAGTAAGCCACAGAGACGAACTGTCAAACAGTCAACCGTTCCAGCTTGCTGTCATCAACTTGGACCTCCTGGGCTTCTTTCAATGTTTGGTTCAATAGGCTCAAGGTGAGGACCGGCAATTCACATGCTCTTGGGCGAATGATTTTACCCTTGTCCCCCACTTGTCTCCCGTGTGCCCATACGAATCTGCAGAATCTCAGCACACCATTCACCGATAGTTTGGCTGATGGTATCGCCCGGAGAAAAGAAAATGAGCTGCTGCTGGGCGGAGCCTGGCTGGGCGGCAGGGGGGCGCCTGCTTTATTAAACCAATAGAAAACTCATAGCCCTCTCTTTAAAAGAAACGAAAAGGAACTCAACCCAAAAAACACAAAACTGACGACAAAATTGATCAAAATTGTGGTCTGATTTGTGTCGTTTGGTGCAATGTTTGGTATGGTGTGTGTCAATGTTTGTGATCGCGCGTGGTTTTTTGTGGTATGACTTGTAGTTTTTTGTTGCATTTTTTGCGGTATGGTTTGCGATCGCGTTTGTGGCTTTTTGTGGTATGACTTGTATTTTGCGATATGTTTTGTGGTGTGATTTGTGGTCGCGTTTGTGGTTTTTTGTGGTAGGACTTGTGGTTTTTGTTGTATTTTGTGTGGTATGATTTGCGGTTGCATTTGTGGTCTTTTGTAGTATGACTTGCGTTTTTTGTGGCTATGATTTGCGGTCGCGTTTGTGGTTTTTTGTGGTGTGACTTGTGGTTTTTGTGGCATTTTTTGTGGTGTGATTTGTGGTTTTTGAGTATAAGTATAAGATCAAAGGTGGGTGGCAGGAGACAAGGTCAAGCGCATTGATTTTGTGATTTTTGTGGTGTGATTTGTGGTCGCGCTTGTGGTTTTTTGTGGTACGACTTGTGGCTTTTTGTTGCGCGATGTGCGGTCGCGTTTGTGGTTTTTTGTTGTATTTTGCGTGGTACGAAACAGAATCAATCAAGCGCAGGAAATGGAACCTTTGTGAAAATTTTGGGCGGGGGGCCGGGAGCCAGAGCCAACTTGGACTTGGCTCTCATCCTGCTCCAAATGTAATCATAATCTCCCTTTTCCCCCTTCCTTTCCCTCTTCCTTTGGCTGCGAGAGCACAAAACTCCTGGCCACCTGCTACCGTTCCAGTCTTGAGCCTTTATTTATACCATATCATTTTGGACAGTTTGGACTCTTGCTAACTTAGGGTTTGGTTGGGGTCGGGTGCGAGTTGCGTAGAAGGACTTGATTTGTTTTAGAAGATTCAATCAAGAGGGGGATAAATAGTTCTGGGCTGGAGGGTGTGAAAAGTTATATTGTCAGCTGACCGTATTCTTAAGTCTTTCGTTGAAATTGAACCCGGGTATATTGTCAATTGCCCAGTGGGCATTTCGCCTATGGGTGGGTTTGGTTTGATTTACTTACCTTACATTACATTTGAAAGAGGCTGCACTGATACAGCGGTGAAACTAAGATGAAATTGGCAACCCATTAGAATAAGCCAATAAGTTAAGTCAAGTCATTGAACTATTGAATATCCCATGGGCGCACCAAACTACATGAGCAAAATATTAATCTTGCGGTAAGTAGGGTCACTCATTCTTTGAATTGCCATTTGAGGTTGTCCAATTAGTGAAGGATGTGAAGGGATGATGTTGGTTGTTTTTGGTTTGCAAAATTGAACTTTAGAGTTAACCCGCCCACTGATCCAATCATTTTGCATTTCCTAGACCAGAACCCGCCCACTGGTCCAATCATTGTGCGTTTCCTAGACCAGAACTTGCAATCCAATTTCCTTAAACGACACTAAATATGATTGTGGTTTTTGGTGTGTGGTTTTAAAGGCCCTGACCCTTTACGACTGTTACTGTGGAAGGGGAGCCCAACATCTGCGACACTTGTGTCTTGCTCCTTAGTCTGATTCCAAGTTGGAACTAGCTGGACCCTCCAAGTGGAACACTCAAACTCACACGATGGCCTCCACCCTACTAGCGCTGGCCTCAACCCTAAGAGCGACGGCCTAGACAGAATACTTTCGTCGAAGTCTGGGCCGCGGAAACAGTTACTCATTCGCACGCGAGCAACCAACAACCTGTAGACGAGCTGCATGACTTCAACCTGTTCTTGGTACTTCCTTGGCTGCGCGACTTCGGACACACGCGCCACCTGGACCTCTCCTCGGCTGCAGCACGATTCATCGAGGAACGCCGACGCGGCGAGCGGCAGTGTCGGCGCCACGTTCGGAGCGATGTCCGCTCCACGACCCTAGGCACAGCCCAAGCCATTGGCAGGGAAAAGCGAAAGCCCCAGCCACACGCCGTACGAATACGAAAGTGAATGTCAATTTGCCCTTTTCAAAAATACCATGAACACAACCATCAACTGAGATGAAAAAAGGCTAAGCGACACGCAAATGAGTGGCTGCCTCTAATCTGTGGCGAGCTGACTCAACGGCCCACACAGCTGCAATTCGCTCATGGACTTTCCAAAGCGGCGTCCCATAGGCCACAGTCAGCCAACGGTCATCACCACTGTCAGCTTTGCAACAGCAAAAAACTCATCTGCCGTTCGAATCCCTTGCTCGCGCATTGTCTTGCCAAAATCCAGGCGTTGACCCTTTTCGGCTTTCTGTCTCGAATCAACCTTGCCAAAACGGTCGGGTGTCCGGTGTCCAGGGAAAGCAAAAAAATAGCATGGGTCCAGGTGTTCTCTAGGTCTTTTGCAGTAGGCACAAAGTAATAAGCAAACGCATTCCAATACACACTCCTTCCGGTTCCTGCAGCCGAACAGTGCATGTATGCCTCTCCCTGCCGCAAATCATTATCGATCGAGCGCCATCTATGTCTTTCATCGTGTCTACAATCACATGAGAGCGACTTTCGCGCTGCACTGCCACCTCTGCATCCACATCTTTCTTCTCAACATCGTTTCTGAGCCATCCGATCCTTTTCCCAATGATATCTCCTGAGATCACTTCACGAAAGGTATCAGAAAGGAACTCCTGTTCCTTGTGCCTTTTGGTCTTTCTACGTCCTGATGAGGGGGTGGCACAAAAATGGATTACAAATGTCCGCTCATGCGAATGTCCATCTCCCTCGGTCAGCGATGAGTCGCCCCTGTACCCACATACCTTCCTTTTTTCGCTCTATCATGGGGGTCACCTGCCACAATCCTGTTCCCTGGGCACCTGCATCGTCGTCATACAACTTCAACTCATAGTAAGCATTCTCAACCACATCAAATTCCCTGAAGTACTCAGGGTTATCCGGCAGGTGAACCCACAGCCCCGGCATCTCACCGCAGGTGTCACCGCACCCGCAGGTGAAAAACCCTTCAAACAGCTTGAAACCAAAAGCGAAAAGAGCATAAAAGCTCGTTCCCTAGCTGCGCGACGGGCCACTCGGGGCAATATAAAGCCTGGGGTATGTGCATCTGTATGTGCATGCAAAAATTGATATGATTAATAATACACTTTCTAATTGTGCGCTTGCTTTACACCGACTCACTCATCTATGAAATGCTTCAGCAAGTGTGGCTCTGCCATGTCCACTCGCAAATCAATTTGCAGGGGAGGGCTGGAGTGCTGATTCTGACGAAGACCCATTCACAAATACTTCAAATGCCCTTCCTGGAGAGGCGGGGAATTCCACGCTTGCACTTGCATGCCAGCACTCACATGTGCCTCATGTTGTAGCGCACCAAGGCTGGGTTTTCAGGGTTGTTCGCTACAAACTGCATGCCAATGAAGACGAGCAAAAATCCTCAGAGCACACTTCTGAATGAAAAAATGCAGCAATGACAAACGACCGACAAGAAGTCTACGAATCTAAGATCAAAAAGAAGCACTAAAAACTGTGATCCGTCTACTATGATGTCCACAACGCCTCAGCAGCTAAGCCCCCAGGCCAAGGCCGAACGGAACAGCACTGAGCAATGCCATCGGTGCCTTGCGAGGTGCACCCGGCACAGCAACACATTGACAATTGCTAGTTACCCAACTGCTCTGAGGCAAGGGCATTGAGCGCCTGCATAAAGGTTGCCATCGTTGGGTTCATGAGCGCCAAAGGCCAACCAAAGCCTGAGAAAATAAGAGAGAGGCTGAAAAAGAAAGGAGCCAGCTACCACCGAGTCGGCCAACTTTGGGCAGGAGGACCTCGTTGCACCACGTTCGGCCACAACCACCGTGAAAAAGACTTGATCCCGACAAAATCATCTGAATCGCCAACGGCCCAAGCTCCCCGGCGCTCAGCGGCATCCAGGAGTGGCAGCATGTATGCACAAGCAGCGATCAAGCGGGTTGGCAGACTGTCGTCCTCCGCAGAAACTCTGCAGACTGTCGTTTGGGAACTCGAGCTTAAGCCTTTAGATATATGACATTATCTGACTTTCAACCCTTGTCAGAGGTGTGACAAGAGGTATCAGAGGCATGTTGTCAATGCTTATCCAACATGCACATGGCTCATGGACTTGCGATAGAAGGATTACGTCAAGGTTCACAGTTTGGTTGCTTGTTTTTTGCCTTTATTGCTAATGCAAGACAAATCTACACCCATATCAATCTCATCATGGTTTGTGAGAGTGTCAAAGGACCGCTCGCCCCTGAGCATTTCCAAACACGAGGGTGTGTGAGTGCCACGGGCACCTCGTTCCGCTCTGGCAGGCTTGCCAGAAACTCTTGCTTCTGCCGTTCCAGCTCTTCCTGGCTTGTTCATCAGAAACGCTCACAAACAGCAAGGTCTTTGAAGAACCAACCTTTCAGACCGCGCTTTCCCGCCCTTTGGCCATGACCCAGATCCCGGCCTGCTCCTGCCTCTCACGCTCCTTTGCACGCATCTCTTCTTCGATTCTCCTCTCCTGTCTGATCTCTGGTACCCACCGACACCCGCTGCTGCGTCAGGACGAAATCCATGCCAAGATGTGGGTTTTATTGGGTGCACACTGCACGGAACAAAGCAGCCTAGGGAAGCAATGTCATGCTAGAAAGCACTGAGAAAGCCAATGGAGGAGTGGGCAAGGAAGACCTCCCAAAACAAGCTCCTCTTTCTCAAACTCCTGCAGGGTCTGCTCAACACCTCAGAGGGTTGCTCCATGAGCTTGTTGACTTCAAGCCGTAAAGACTCCCAAGTGAAAGAGAGATGTGGTTCCGATTTTTGTCCCGCATTAGCTGTTGCGTCCCAAGGAAAACTATAGTATAATTATTAGCCACAACAATTCTACTCTAACAGCAAGGGTATCAACCTCGATTGCCCTCCAAACAGGGTGATTTGATCTGGAATCTGAACAGTACAAGCCGTACAAGTCGTACTCGACTTAAAAGAAGTTGGAACAAAAAAATATATTCTTGGCCGAGGCACGTTGAAGGCTGAACTCCTGGCCGAGCTCTTGGTACAAGTCAGGATCTACTCTGTCTTTACATTCCGTCTTTACTGCTTTTTTTAAAGTTCAACTTTGCTTTTGACTTTGTTTATGTTCCTTTTCGATTCCTTTCCTTAGTCTGTTTTCTGGCCGTTCTTTTGTCTTTCCCTTCTTTCTTCATTTGCTTTCTTTCTGAACAGGGAGGGCTCAACTATCACAAGAGCAACTGCACAAATAACTGCTCCTCGGTCTGCAAGACACCGTCTCCGTTCTGATCCAGTGCCTGGCTAAATTGTGATGATAACATGGGCGGATCTTGGCACCTGGACAACAGGAAGGCCACTTCCAGAGATTCAATTCACGAGAAATGCAAGACATATATTAAATTTGGGGATTATTCCTATCAGCAACAGAGTTCTAACAATGTTAGTGGGAATGAAACAAACGAGCAAAGGACGCTACTAGGGGCTCCTGGCCTTACTACTAGGAACAAGAAGCTATTAGGGGCTCCTGGCATGGCGACTAGGAGCAAGGACGCTATTGAAGGCCAAGTTCGCCTTTTGAAGGTGCCAAGTACTCGCTGGGTTCTTTCGTTTCCTCATCGCCAACCTCCAAAAGCCGATGGGCTTTGGCGTCGTCAAGCTCAATCTTGCATTCCTGGTGCAATCGAGTCGATCGAGTCTCAAATCATTCTAGATCATCTCAGCATTTCAGCGTTGGTGGATATTTGACAAAGAAGGAGGCAGTATCGCACTGAAAGTCCCACGTGCTCTTGAGTCAGGTATCTAAAAGTGGTGCAAAACATCACTGGCCTCTACGGGCTAGTGCAGGCAGATTGCTAAGCGTTCTGTCTAGATGCTGACCATCCAATCTAGTCTACTAGTCAGGTTATAAGTAGGAAGCAAAATCTGAATCAAACGGAACTCGCTTGTGCTCTTCTAGTGGTCAAGGAAGTTTAAGTCTGTCAACAGCACTTGAAACTAGAAGCAATGACCATACTGGTAGCTCCTGGCCTTTCTACTAGTAACACGAACCTACGAGTAGCAAAGGGCATCGCTACGAACGGAGCAAGGATGCCGATTTGCGTCCCAAGAGGTCGTCCAAAGCATTTCGAGGCGCCCATCCTGGCTCACTCCAAACTGGAGCTCCTGCAGATTCCAGTTCAACGATGGTCACACATGCAACGATAGACTTGTCACACCTGATCAAATGAACATCGCTGCTATCCAAAACCATGTGCCTCATTCTGTATAAACTTAAGAAGCATGCAACTCAAGTGCACTAGCACATAGTGGCATAGTAGCACTCAAAATCTCGCCGTGCTCGCCTTTTCGTCGAGCGTTCCCGAGCTATCCAAATCCCAGGAGCGAAACAAGGCCAATCTCTTTCGCCTGCGGATCACAAAAGCATTCCATCATGACAGACTCAATGACAGACTAAAAAGCATTCCTGAATGGCTCTTGAGGGCGATAAAGAACAGTTTAAGATTGGACCAAAGGGCATCACATTGCAATAGTATGCATGTATATACTGTATATTCACACCCTGTTGGACACCATGTTGTCTTACCTGTCCTCATGTTGTTTGAGTCTGTTTCGAAGGACTCAGTTGTAACCCTAAAAGGATCAAAGAACAAACACACACTTAAGGCAAATCACATTTTTCAAGTGGCCCTGATCTTCTTCTGCAAGTTTCACAAGAGAAAATGGTGTCCACTTCTCCTAGGGTTGGAATCGTTCAGGACCTTTCAGGATATTCTGCATCTCCATGTGCCATCAGAAGCTCCCGTTTGTCCCTGTGCCTCTCTTCCGCTGCAGAGATCGCCTGGAATGTTGTCACGGCGCATGTCGGGTAAATGCTTTCAGTGATTTGCCAGATCACATAACCGTAGCCTCAAGTTACCAAAATCCCAACCCACTAAAGTTGGAATCACTGATCCACCAGAATTGTTCATCGCCCTTTTTCTTGCATGTTGAAGGTGAGAGAGAAGCAGACATCGGATCAGCCTCCAACTCTTCGATATCTGCCCGGAGCTTGGCAGCCTCCAACTGTAGCCTTGCGAGCGTTTCAACCGGCTGCAGAGCCGGTCGACGGTCTTGGTGAATCGGGGGTGCAAGACGTGAGACCAAGCAGGCCTTAAACAGTCCAAGCAAACCGACCTGAGTGACCTGAGAGTGGCATTCTCTTTGGGATTTCTCAAAAGCACCTCTTTCCAAACTGCAGATATCAAAAAAATCAAAGCTGCCTCTGCAGCATGCAGCATACCCAAATCCCTCATGGGGTTACTTGCACTTTCTATATATATATATATATAAGGACGATGTCTCAATTCCAACTGAGCCTTCGGATTCTGAAATTCTAGTCGGCAATTCTTGTAAATAGCCTTGCCAACCCCAGCCTCTCTGCCAATTGTGCAGCATCCTCCTCTGTTGCAACTGCCTCCGTTCGCTCCTGTGGGAAGTTGCTTTTGCAATTCTAACTCTGAACTCTTGAAGCTCCAAACCAAGAGGTAGCTCATCTCAGTTCCTTTAGCCAAGAAGGTGCTGAGAACATTCCGTCCTTTAGCAAAGGACCCTGCCGGCGCAACACCTACCAGAGAAGCTGGAACACAGTGTGGTCAGATTAGACAGATCCAAACAACCCAAAATTCAGCATCAACATTTATGGGGGTTGATGCTGTTGTACTGTGCACAATTGGCCAGCCTTGGCTTGGCGTGATCGACGGCCAATCACCTGACATGTTCCCATCTTGATTACATGTGGGTGGACACCTTGACACAGCCAGCCTGCCACAGCTAAGATCCGGTGATTCTAGTGAACACAAGCGAATCACAGCAACACGCTCAATCAGATAGGCAGGAGGACGGGCAAACGAAAAAACTGGACACTCGCAACGTATACACAATTGGCCTGCACAATCTTTGCAGTGGTAAGAAAGTTGTCATGGTTCTCCAAAGAATACAACATGCCAGCACGGACACAAAACACATTGTAAAGATCCTGTTTGCTAAGCAAATGTCCTTTTGTGAACATGTTGTTGTTGGGGACGACTAAGCTTGAGTTTGTATGTTCTTGGCTGGGTGGGTTCTCAATACGTAAAGCAATGACTTTTCATGTCGGGCTTTTAATTCCACTGACTCCTTTCAGTTCGCACGACTTTTATTTTCACCCACCTCTCTAGCACACTGAAAGAAGAGTTTCAGACGTTGGTTTTGCCAAATCCTAAAGAATCCACCTTGTGGATCCTTATGGTGTCCTATTTCCGTCCCACCACACCTTGCGCAAAACACGGCATCCAAGCATTGCCGATGCAGCACTGGCACCGAGAAGCATCCCATTGGCAGCACCGCTTGGTTGTGATGCGGCCTGCTCACGGAATCAAGGAAATCAAAGCGCAGATTCTACTGCAAACTGTGCAAACTCATGAAACTCATGAGAACTCTAATAATATAGCCACTAGTAACAAGTGCATCGCTTCTAGTAACAAGTGCCTTACTAGTAGTAACAAGAAGCTACTAGTAATATTACCATCCATGTTTTACGTGAATTTGAAAGCCTTCTGCGGCGGCTTGGCAGCACCAACTCTTGCCCGGTGAAGTGTCACATGATCAGCGGGCGCATGGCTCAATGGTGCCTGCAAAGTGTTTTTTGCAAAGCTTCAATAATGCATCTGTCACACCAATGACCCTGTGCAAATGTTTCAAGCACAAAACAAACCATTGCACCACCTGCACGAATGCGGGGCTGGAGGAAAAGCTTTGCTGAATCACCCGCAGCGCAAGCAGTGAGTCTGGGAAGGAACGGATGCAGAAAGCAGTTGCATCACAAATGTCCGAAATATACACAGTGCATCGAAACAACTTTGGAAGTTGTCTGAAATCGAAGCCTAGTGAAACATCTTGCTTGAAGTGCTAGGCCACCCGCCCAGGCCAGACATGGTAAATGCCTAGCACAGGCTCCCGACAGGTTCTTTCCTCTATAGATCCTCTGCTCCAACTATTTAAGTGAGTCTTCAAGAGTCCAGCATAGTGAAATGATGCGCCGACCCCCATTGAGTCAACAGTGAACGGAACAGGGACGGTGTGATTCCTGACAATGACACCGGCAACCCGTAGGCCATGGCCGGTGGATATAAAGAAATTGACATCTTGGTGGGCTCCATGGCTGGGTGAAGAAGAACGTCTTCGGAAAATGTACTCTTTGAGCAATCGTGGGTCCAGGGAAATGTAATCAAGAAAAGCGTTCTCCGAAGATGTTTGTGTTGATGTGTGCTAATTACCTTTCGTAGGCATGAACGATCATGGCCAAACATACCACAAAAAGCACTATCGGGCATCGCCTAGTTCCGCGAAGTTTGTATTATTGTTTTTTGTTTGTTATTTGCTCTTTTCTTTACTTCAGACTACCTGTCCTTCTTCTTTTCCTTCCTTAGTAAAGCTTTCTGGTTTGTAAGACGGTTTCGAGTCCAAGGTGTGAGCCATTCTACAAGCTAACTTCCAATTTTGTCAACTGCCCTTTCTTGTTACGAGTACCCACCAATGCCTAACACATTGTATGATGCAAAGCAATTAGCAGCACAATAATTAGCACGTAGTGTCGCACTGCGAAGAACTCCAGTCCCATACCACAAAAACACAATCACCGGGGCGATCCTCTGGAATGCGATTGTCCCGCGCAGAAGAAGTCTCTGTGTGCTGAAACAGCTGCGAGAAAGAATTGCAAGTGCCAAAAGATATCAAAACCGGGGATGATGCTGCAAGCAACACTGCTACAGGCATTCGATCTTCCACAAGAACACTGACAAACCTTCGGTGAATTCCGAAACTTCGAGCCCTCATGGCCAAAACACCATGTCAATGGCTTTTGAGTGTGGCCATTGCCAGAGTCAGCATAGCCAGACAAACTGAGCGGGGCCCCGACTTCTGCTCCGGAGAAGCAAAGTAAAGCTCGAACCGATTGCAGGTTGAAAGCACTGCCGCCTAGTGACCATAGGAATCTCACTGCGAAGCAATAAAAACCCGTGACAGGCAAAGACATCAAATGCATGAATGACAAGGTGCTCAAGCCACACGATGTGTGTGCAAAAAGGATTGTTTGTCTGACAAACCGCTTCTGCTTCAGGGACTCAAGCCCTACTCAATTCTAGATGCTACAAGCTGAAGATGGAGGTGTAAAGCATGTTGCACTTTGTTATGAGGGGCTCGCATCTCGTGCCGTTCAGTTCGTTCAACAAGGTGTTGATCGACTCTCTGTGACTCTCGGGGATCAAAATCCAATTCGGCAACAATGACCGTGTGCTGCATGAATCGCTGAAACCCCGAAGGAAGTGAGCAAGCCTACTCATCTTCTATTTTTGGAGACCTCAATCAATGATGCACTCTTGAGCGCTTAAATCACATCTCCTTGGGTGTGCCTTAACAAGGCTGCTTGTGAGAGGTGTGACAGGGCGGTGGACTCACGCAGCAGCATTGGCCACCAAAAACAAAAAGAGCGATTGGGATCAGCACGAAGTCGCACGAATCCAACTGTCCAGCGTTGGACAGTATGCAATGACTCATGATTTTGATGGTGGGCATAATGCTCATGATGCTACTGTAAAGAAGTAGCATTATCAAAACTATGACAATTACATTCATCATCATCATCATCATCATCATCATCAACAACAATTTTTAACACGCCAAACTAACCGGCAAATCCTTTGCTTCTTTCATCCAAAGGGAACGCTAATCTGTTAAACAAACACCTGAAGCACACATCGATATCACACTTGCCAGACCAACCTCAGGGACCAGAAAGCCACTGGAAGTCTGGCCAAACTTTACCAAGTCCTTTCAATGTTGTCACTGGTGACGCTGTCAGAAAGCTGGTGCGTTCGTCTCACAGAAAATATCCTTTGTGATTTTGGATCCAATCAAGTCCTGCGCGTACTCATTCCACTTTGCTTCAGCCACTGCTAGTTTCTGTCGAACCTGGTGCCAAACGCACAGAACAAAAACAAACACAATATCACAGCTACTTCTTGCTTGCAAGGTGTATCTTGTAACTCAAATTTGATTACAAGGTTCTTCAAACAGCTTACCAAAGCACTCTGCCTCCACGGGCGCACTGTGGTGGCTGAGGCCAATCACATGCACCTGCCAGAAGCTGCAAAAGTAACCAGAAGCTGTGAAGCAACCAGTCTGACCAATTTTCTGAGATGACGGGAGACGAAACTATATAGTGCATCGTGATATGAGGCCCGTTGATATGTGGTTCTGAATGGATGAAAGAAAGCAATGGCCACGTGTCTGTCCAGCTGTTCAGAAAAACCTTGTTGAGCACATATGTTGTGCAAGCTCAGCACCTGGGATATATTTTAATCTGTCTTGAATATGCCTCCATCATGGTCTCAACGCTGTCTTTGCGCGCTGCACCTCAGGGCAATCCTTTGACCTATACATATATGTATATATACACTGTGTATATGTATTGTGAAATGTGCAGATGCCGCATCCGCTGGTCCTTTGAATGTTCACC